GCATCTGTTTTGTTGTTGTTGTTGTTGTTGTTTTATATAAGGTCTCACTAGTTGCCTGGGCTAGAATGCAGTGGGGTGATAATAGCTCACTGTAACCTCTAATCCCTGGGCTTAAGCAATCCTCCTGCCTCAGCCTTCCAAGTAGCTGGGACTACAGGCGCTCCCCACAACATCCAGCTAATTTTTCTATTTTTTTGTGGAGCTAGGGGCTCACTCTTCCTCAGGGTGGTTTCGAACTTCTGGCTTCAAGTAGTCCTTCTAACTCAGCCTCTCAAAGTGCTAGGATTACAGGTGTGAGCCACCACATCCTGCCTTGTCCATTTTTTCAAAGCTAGGTTGTTTGTTTTCTTATTGTTAAGGTTTGTTTTCTTTTTAATGTATTCTGGAAACAAGTCTTTTATCAGATATACAATTTGAAAATATTTCTCCAAGTCTTTGGATTGTGTATTCATTTTCCTAACAATAACTTTCAAAGAGCAGAAGATTTTAATCTTAATGAAGTCCAATGTACTATTTTTTTTTTCTTTTAAAAATTTTGCTTGTGGTGTCATATTTAAGAAGTTTCTCCTTAACCCAAGGTTATGGAAATTTGTTCCTATGTATACTTCTATGAGTTTTATAGTTTTATGTATTACATTTAGATTGGTAATTCATTTTGAGTTAACTTTTGTATAAGATGAGAAGTTTAGGTTGAGGTTCATCTTTTTCACATATGGAAATGTAGTTGCTGTAGACCATTTGTTGGAAAGACTTGGTTCTCTCCATTAAATTATATTTGCCTCTTTGTCAAAAGTTGACCATATCTGTGTAGGTCTATATCTGGGCTCTCTTTTCTGATTCCATTAATCTATGTTTTCACCCATTTCACACTGTGTTTATTATTGTAACTTTAGATTAGATATTTGTATTGAATTTTTTTCTTTTCCCTTTTCAAAGTTGGTATGGCTATTCTAGTTCCTTTATCTTTCCATATAAATTTTGGAATCAAGAGATATGTATCTACAAATGACTTTCTGGGACCTTTGCTCAGTTTTTAAACTCTGCCACTCTCTCTCTTTTTTTTTTTTTCAAATCGAGACAGAGATTTGCTCATATCTTATATTCTGAAACATTGCCCAGTTTATGTGTTTCTCAATGGCAGTTAAACAAGCTCAACTTTAAGTTCTGTCAGAAGGCTGGAATGGAGTTCTGCAAGATCAAATGAGTTAGACTCATTTAGTAAAGCATAAATGCTTTCATATAATTATCTCATCTACTTTGGGGCTTCAATTCCTTCTGACCAACACTTGTTGACTCTTTCCAGTATGTAAATACTTATCTTTGATCATAGAGAAGGCATTAATAAAAAGACTTGCACAACTTCATTTTAACTATCTTTTGCCATTATATCATTAGCCTCTGTGGTATGACTAGGCTAGAAATAGATTTGAGCATCATCCCCCAAAGCTAAGAGGTGGAATACAAGATTAGTTGTACACATAAAAATTGCTGATGCTGATGAAATGTATTTGGTGATAAATTTATAATTACTTTTATTGTTTAATATTCTAAGATAGTTCTGTACATCAATTTTGATAAATTAATTACTGATTTGTTTTACCTTAATGGTTTCAGGTAGTTAAGCCTTTTAAAAACCAGGCCTATAGCCTCCTGGGACATTCATGTTTGGTTTTCAAACCTATTTCACAAAAATCAGACCACACTATCTGTAAATAATAAATAATGTATTTTAAAAATCTTATACCTGAATAGTTTAGCACAATTAACAAGCACTTTTACATTTTATTCTAAGAATTTTTATGTGGTAGGTGTGATATTATGAAATAGAGATTTGGTCCCCCTTTCCCTTCCTATGATACAACTTCCAAAAATCATTGAAATTTACAAAGAGGTGTCCTTTTTGTATGTTAATGTGTTTACTGATGGCTAGCAGCTCCTAGATAGCTTCAGAATGGGGGCTGGTCAGAGGAAAGACTTAGGCAGGTTTAAAGGGTTAGGACTTTTAGTCCTATCCCCCAACCTGGAGGGAGGGGAAAGGGAGTGAAGGTTACGTTGATCACCAATGGCCAATGATTTAACCAATCATGCCTATGTAATGAAGCCTACATCAAAACCCAATAACGACTGGGTTTGGAAAGCTTCTAGGTAGCTGAACAAGTGGAGGTTCAGGGAGAGTGGCACGTCTAGAGAGGGCATGGAACCTGCGTGCTTTGCCCTATGCATCTTTTCCATCTGGTATTCATTCATCTTTTGTAATATCTTTTGTCTTTTGTAGTATCATTTGTAACAAAGCTGTAAACATGTTTCTCTGAGTTTTATGAGCCATTTTAGCAAATTAATCAACCCAAGGCAGGGGGTCATGTGAATTCCCATGTATAACCAGACCATTGGAAGCACAGGCACAAAACAACCTGGGGCTTGTGATTGGTGTCTGAAGTGTCCCATAAGTCTTCTCCATTGAAATTTTATTTGTTTGTTTACTTATTTGATTTTTTTAAAGAATGCAGTATTTTTATAATCAGAAACTATAGATGTTCTTAAATTCATTAGAACTGAATTAGCTTCTAAGGGGTTATCAATTCTGTCCCCCAAATCTGTCATTGTAAATGAGTTTTTTTCGATAGTAAGCATAAAATATCTATATTACTTAGTGAAACAAAAGAACTATTAGAAATGTAATTAAGAAATCTCTGAACAAGTCTGGAGCTAAGAATAATGAATAAATTTCTTAATGCCCCACCCACTAATGTGAAAAGGGTAGCATAATCACGAAGTTTGAAGTATACAGGGTGTCAATCCCTTGGATTTTCAAGTTGTAAACCTGGGCAAGTACTATTGTTAAGCGGATAAATGTGTATATATTTATTAATTAAAAATAAGTTAATATTGACATCATCTTCATAAAGGAGAAATAAAATAATTGGAGATGTAGATCATACAATGCACAAGTGAATTCTCAGAGCAGGAGCAGAAACTTTGGTGATAATGATTCATACACTTCTTTGAAGTAAACAAGAGTAATCAACATCTGCTTCACAGTTAGATGTGGTTTTTCTGCCAGATAGTGCCTGATTTCATTTCCTATATACTATTCTTGAGCTTCAAGCTCTCTGTCCTTCATACCCAGAGATGGGGGCCAGTGATGAATGAGATTTAGGGGCTGGGTGAAAGTATCAGTTTTATACATTAATTGTAGCCCAACTTCATCAAGGTGGCTGCCTCAAAACGCTATATATCCAAGAAATTTGAAGGGCAGGTATGGTTACCCTTTTACAGATGAAGGAATTTTTTTCTTCATCTCAATCTCTTACTTTATTTAATAGGTCACCTCTTGACTGGCAGCAGATATTAACAGCACTCTGTGCGAACACAGGTCTGTGTGTGTGTGCGTGTGTGTGTGTGTATTTGTTTTAAATTAACATTTTAACAATCAGAGCTGACTGGATGACCCCACTTGACACCCATTCTCTGTTCACACATAAAGTTTATTAAAAATGATACTGCTAATGATATTAGTGAGTTATTGATCTAGTATTTTACCAGACTGTTTGACATGTCACATGTTTCTAATTGTTTTTTCATTGATTCTTAAGAAACAGCATTAAAATGAACAAGGATTAGATTTGAAAGCTCTTCACACAGTGCACGAATATAAATGTAAATGTACAACTCAATTTAAAGATTGTTTTATGGTTGATTTTCAGTTGTTTGCACTCACATCCCCCATAAAAAAAAAAGTTCCTTTTAAAGTCACTTACAAGTTAGCATTTCTGAAGTGTTTTTTGATTTTTCCATTTGGAAGAGTTATTAGATGACTAGATGCAAAACAATTAAAAAAATTATCTAGCAGTATAATGTAGATAAGATCTTAGTTATAACTTTGGGAAGTTACTGAACCTCTCCATGTCTGTGCCTCATTTCCTCATCTATAAACCCCCATAAGGTCGTTGTGAGGATGAAATAATCCATATAAAGCTCCTTGAATAGTACCTTGAACATATTGACCAGTAAATCATTACCCTTTGTTCATTCAGCAGAAAAAACTGGCTAGCCGGCTGGATGACATTCTCTTATTCTTGAGAATGCTGGTGGTATGCTAGGTCCTATTGTCCATATACACATCAAGAAGATACTTCTTAAGTCACCCTCAGTGAGTATTATGGAGTTCAGTGGTGCTGAAGTATATATTGCAAGGCAAAATCTGGTGGGTACATAGGCATTATGATTGGAATTTCAAGTGGGAATAAGTGCCAAACACATTTAAATCGCATTATGTCAGGTAAGGCACCTCTCAGGACTTGCAGTTCCCTTAACAACTAGATATTAAAAAGGCAGTCAGACTCAGTGTTTCCTGGGGCACAAATAAGGTCAGGATAAATTCCTTTGCAAAAAATGCAAAACAATAGGTAAAAATGCGAAAATATAGTGCATTTGTGGAATGGTTAGGTTTTCTTGACCATACCCTTTTCCAGACAGCAATTCAGTCATTTAGATAAATCTCCTTCATTGTATGATCCAAAAGCTTACTAGGCCTGGAGCAAAATAAACAGGTCCATAAATTAAAGAGAGGTACTGGAAAGAGATCCCATACTATTCTCCCTTAACTGCAATTGTCAATGGGGTTTGACAAAGAATGTAAATTTATCTGCAAAAATTAGTGTATTACTAGATTAATACCCCTTATTTTGTTCTGGGATTCTGGAATGATAACACTTATGCTTGTAACTACCTTTGCTAAGCTTAAGAACCACGAAAAACATACTTTCATGTGACATTTGTGATTCTTTTTTCTAGCAAATTTTGGCAGCATGGCTTTGTGAAATTTTCAAGCCCTGGGGCTTGGAAGTTCTGGCTTCATCTATGAAATTCTGCATTTCTGCTCTTTCCAGGCTCCTTTACCTACTGGGCAGTCTTATAGCTATCTCTGTGCAAGGCAGGGCCTCTCCTGGCACAGAAACCTGTCAGGTGAATACGCCCCTGAGGGGCGTGTCGGTACCGTTTCCTGGAGCAATCTCACAGGGTGGCTCCTTTCCATTTGAACTCAAATACTTTGCTGTCTCCTCTGCAGTTGCCAGACCTGCCTCTGCTGCTGCTCAGGTAACACTCATTTCTCTCTGGCACCAGTATGGGCAGAAGTGGTTGATAAATGGCTTCTACAGGTTTACCTGCCTGCCTTCCCTTTCTTTTATTGTTTTTCTCTGTTTGTTCCTTAGGAAAAGCATCTCGGGAGTCTCTTGCTGACGGCTGAGAAGATGATGAGCTCAAGCTATTGGAGTGAGACCAGCAGGAGCAGCTGTGGGACCCAGCAGCCCCCAGAGGTGCTGCAGTGTGAGCCCCAGCATTACCACTGCTACCATCAATCAAACCAAGCCCAGCAGCCTCCGGAAAAAAACGTGGTATATGAGCGAGTGAGGACCTATAGTGGGCCCATGAACAAGGTGGTGCAGGCCTTGGACCCCATCGGTTCACGGGAAGTACTCTCCCCTCTCAAAACCGCCTCCTCCTACCAAAATTTGGTTTGGAGCGACCATTCTCAGGTACCATAAAGACAAATATGCCAGGCTAGTGGAGAGGGGAGATCTTAAACCTGATTTTCTCTCTTTCTTTCTTTCTTTCTTTCTTTCTTTCTTTCTTTCTTTCTTTCTTTCTTTCTTTCTTTCTGCTCCTTTGCCTTTGTATTTTCTGTGTAGGCTATCTCTTGGTGGATTGCAGATATATATACGCCTTGGATAGTCGCCTCACCCAAATGTCTCTCTTAGCTGTTTTTTTTTTATTATTATTATTATTTACTAGTGCCTGTGGTTATTTGTTTCTAGTTCCAATGATTTTCATAATCTAACCAGAGAATAGGAGGGCTCATTTTCTGTTAGATTTGATTGGAAGATCTGATCCAAGTTATCCTTTTGCCCCTACCACAAAGCGATCCTGGCCTTGAATACAGTAGATTTTTACAAACAAGTTCCTACTCATTCATTTTGTAACAGAAGCAAACAGGCTTTTTTGTATCAAATATAGTGGTGCAAGGACAATGGCATATATGGAGTGATAAGCAATTATTCGTGTTCAACAAATAGTATCCTGCTCCAGGATAAGTGACAGGTGCAAATGTTTGTTGTCATATGCGTTTCATCTTCTGAAAATGACACATTGATTCGACAGCCTAGATGAATAATTTATAGAATATTGGTAGAAAGAATACTGAGAGAGTGGATATAAGATTGAGGAAGGCAAGATGTAAGCAATTATTGTATGAAAGCTATAAAAGAATTCTAAGACACCATTTAAGATTAAATAAATTTGTTTTTTAAGGGTTTTTTCCCTAAAATATCAATACATCTGCTAATAATCTTGCCAATAAATGAGAACATTTCAAGACTATATAAAATTAACAACTTTTCTCTATTTTCTTTCTCTGACTCTCTTTACATTAAATTTGCATGTCTTTAAGTTTTCTGGAAACTTTTGTCTAAACTGAAATTATATTTTCAAGATACAATTTATACTGTGAAGATCTCAAATGCAACCATTGAGATACTATGCTATGTTATATTATTTCATCAATCAAGAATTATGTGGATTATTTTTCCCAAAACCACTAAGTTAAGTAAGATACGAAGTGACATTTCTAAAGTACATCATACAACTATTTTAAATAATTATTCAAAGATATAGATGACCTCAAAACTCCAAATACCAAAATTTTACTCCTTTATTTCACTCCTAGCTTAATTTCAGGGAAAATATTTTTTAAAACTCTGGATTTACTGTCAGTAATTTCCTAGTTGAGAAAAACTCCGCCTGTATTGAGGTCAAGGGGAAGAAAAACATAAAGGTCAAAAATACTAGTTTGGGCCGGGCGCGGTGGCTCACGCCTGTAATCCTAGCTCTCTGGGAGGCCGAGGCGGGCGGATTGCTCGAGGTCAGGAGTTCGAAACCAGCCTGAGCAAGAGCGAGACCCCGTCTCTACTATAAATAGAAAGAAATTAATTGGCCAACTAATATATATACAAAAAATTAGCCGGGCATGGTGGCACATGCCTGTAGTCCCAGCTACTTGGGAGGCTGAGGCAGGAGGATTGCTTGAGCCAGGAGTTTGAGGTTGCTGTGAGCTAGACTGACGCCACGGCACTCACTCTAGCCTGGGCAATAAAGTGAGACTCTGTTTCAAAAAAAAAATAAAAAAAATACTAGTTTGTATAAGTTATAAATAATAATGCAAATGTACATTCCAATATTCAGTATTAGGATGCACAACAAAGTGGGTGTCACCTTCATTCCATAGTAGCTCAAAAACAATGGGAAGTTTAATAACAACAATTACTATTATCATAGGAATTTTAAAATTTGTCATACCTATTTAAACATAGTTAGCTTTTTGTCAGCTTGCTAGTAAAAGAAAGGTAAATAGATATACATTTAAAAGCTGAAATTTGGGAAATTATACATATTTACTATAGAACAATTTTTAGGATCATGCTTTATTGTTTGCTCTTTGGTTCAACTTTCCCTTTAAATGACCCAGGACCAAGCTGGGTGAGCTTTTTACAAGATTTTTCTTCTTTTACCTGATATTTGCCAAAATGATCCTTACAAGACTATCTCTATCCTAAAATGTAGTTTCCCATGGAGGAGTTTATAAAGATCATTAGGGGCAGTAAGTGTGGCCATATAAATTGGAGTAAAGAGATTGGAATGGAAGGTACTATAAAGTCTGAAGTTATTTATGATTGAAAAGAAAGAAAAGTAAGTGCTGGGCATAGGTAAGGGAAGTGAGAGTCTAGCTATGTGGTGAAGGTAAAAAAAAGAAGTGTTATTCCCTTAGTGAAACAAGAAGAGAGGAATTTGACTATAAAATTTCAAACTGAGTTTGATATTAAAGGGCATTCACAAATCAATTATAAGATATTTTTACAAGAAAGCTTTTAGATGGCTGCCACAAAGAATGTGACTAGGAGACTCTTTTATTTTCCTTTCTCCCTTTTTATTAGTGGAATGGCATTGTGGCATTGTGTAAAATAGTATTTAGATTTGATCTGAAATTACTTTCATGCTGACAAAATGGTTAAGTTGTGATGGCAGCTTTATTATGTACCATGCCAAGCATGAGCAACAGCACATATTACTCAAAACCCTTTTATTCCTTTTATGTTTTAATAAAGTCTCTCCATAATATGCCATGTTTCAGATGAGTTAATATCTAGCAATTATTCTGATGCCAGAGTTTGTAACCATAGCAGCTATCAAAATGGATATTACAATAAACTGTTGGTTATCATGAATTCAATTAAATTTTTATTTTGTTTTTACCCTCTTGGCATTTGGATGACATGAGATTTTAAAATAAATATTGCCAGTAGTGAAATATGTTCCCTTTGAGAAATCAAAATTGATGCCATTCTGCTTTGCTTCCTGAATTTTAATTTTAGCTCATGTAGTAGACATTTTAGATTTAACTAAATGCTTTTTACAGCACTTTAGTGTTTTCTATTTCTGCTGTTTTAGTACATATTTTCCCCTGTTACCCTCTTTTGCATTAAAATGGTGTTTATGAATATAAACACATTTTAAATTTTGCCAGATATATAGTGTTGCTTTGTTTCTTTTCTATAATTGATCAGATCAGATATATTTTATGGTTTTCTCGGTTATTATTTTTTCTGACTGATAGGGTGTTTCTCAGAGAAAATTAGATGTAGAAACCAGTCGCTGGTGAAATTGGCTAAATTAATGGGAGAATTGAAGTTACTGAGTCTATCCTTGTAAACAGGTATAATCAAACGCAGGTATAATCAAGGTCACAGAGGCATTTTATAACTGAATGTGATTTTATAAATAAACAGAGTTCTATAAGGCTTAAAACAAAACACTTACAATTCAATCTTTAAAAAGGCGTAAATACTAACCTACCATAGTTAACTCAAAATGAAATACTGCCTTCACAAAACAGCATCAATAGAAATTACTCACTGGACTTACATTTTTCTGTTCTACTAATTTAGATTTTCATGAAGTTCAAGATATCTTCCAGGTATACAGAGGAGCGTTGTTGTGTGTGAGAGAAATGGATCAAAATAAGTTATTTTTAATACCAGTTGTTCACTGAACACATGTTTATTAAGTGCCTATTTTGTAGGAAGCACTATGAGTTTCTGAATAAATACCATTTTCTTGTCCAGGGAGAATTCACTTAGAGGACAGATATACAAGGCCTGGTCTGTAGATGTCCTCTATATCTATCTATATTTCATTTAAAAAGATTATTTTGTGCTGTGGCTATCAGTATTTCATTGACTGAAACATATTTTGGTGAGAGAAAGGATATTTTAATGTATATGTTATAAGGGTTGCCATTATTTTGAATTTGAAACTTGAAACCAAATCTAACTCTAGAGAGCAGCCTAGGGGAAAATGTGTGCTTATAAGTGGCCTCCATTCTCGATAATTATTCAACTGGGGCTTACCTTTGTTTATATTATTTTTTCCCCTTTTCTTTGGTCGCCAAGATTGTGGATCATTTCCCTGCTGTGCCAGGATTTCTATACACTATCAAAAAATTTTCCTGTTCTGTGGAGAGGGGTGTGTTGCTTTGATAAATTGTTGTTCCAGGGTGTGGTCACTAAAGTCAATGATTGTTCAAGGAAGTAGGTTGCCTGAAAAAAGAATGAGGTCATAGGATAAAGGGGCTGGGTTTTCAGCTTTGGTCATCCCTTTTGTGCCTACAATTAAATGAAGCTATAGAAATTTCTCAGTGCAACTAATTGCTGGGTGAAAATGCCCATGGCAATTGTCTCTTGCTTAAGGGAGGTCTTATAAATTACTGGGCCTGTTTTCAGTCAATGGCACTCACAAGCTGTCATTGTGTATATGTGGGGTGGGCAGGGACAGGGAGGGGAGAAGGGAGAGGAAATTTTCCTTCAATTGTTGTTCAAATTTCTTTTCTTGACAATTTATGGTAAAACAACTGGGAGATTTACTATGCTCTTAATCCTTATTTAAAAGGTAAAATTTTTCTAAACAAATATATTTGAGACAACTTTTTCTTCACACAGGAGCTATCCCAACAGACATCCTTTTCTGACTTCCAATGGAATATATATACAGTTCTTAAAGATAGAAAAGGGACTGCACAGCACTTCAAAGGGACTGTATTTTCTTTCTTTTATTTTTTATTTTCTTTCCATCTCCTAGTTTTCTTCAGGAAAAGAAGAGAAAGAACCCAGGAATAAGCCTTTTAAATGAGGGATTGGCATTAGGGAGAAGAAGGGAGGGGAATAGTTCTATTATATTACATTCTGTTGCTTTCTTTACATGGCAATAGAATCACAGATTGTATCCTAAATGAAGGAAGTTCTTGTTTCATCTAAAGAGAGATCATCATAATTTGTATGATTTTTGCTGTACATTGTTCAATATAACATCTCAATAATAACCTAAGGCAGGTGTTTAACCGTGTTACTCATTTTGAAAGGTTCTAACAAAAGCATCTCCCATAGTGTTCAGGGAATTTATTCAAATGGTAGTTTGCCTTGGCAAATTC